TTTAAACGGAACGCTGATCTTATAAAAGATTTCAGCTATATGTTTGGATTGGACTTGCTCTTATATTGTATATGGGTAAATATCAAGAAAGACTGGGTTCTATAGCCTTGTCTATAGGAGAAGGAAAACTCTGAATTCAAAACCTGCGGCGGGTTGTTTGGGGACCTTGTCTCTGTATTCGGCCCTTTAAAAAGTGTGGTTGGTTCTGTGCAAAGCAGGTGCCTGGGCTGCTTCACCCTCATACGACGGGATATTTCATTTATATATATATATATATATATATATATATATATATATATATAGTTATTTATTCGAAAATTATAACATAAATATGTTATAAAATCACTACAAAAATAGCTATCTTGTTTCGACACTTCTGTTGACTTATCAAGTGATGATGTTGAATGCAGAATAATGGGTTTTGAAACAAACACTCCTGAAACGTAATGACTATTTTGTAGTGATTTTATAATATATTTATGTTATAATTTGTTAATAAATCATTATATAATAAATCATTATATTTGCTCTACTCTGTATTAAGCACTCTTTTAAGAATAGTATTTGTTGGTTATTGAAATTTATTCCGTATACACAATCCTATACTTGTATATATATATATATATATATATATATATATATATATATATATATATATATATATTGGTTGGATAGATGTGAGTTTGTGACCTGGGTTTCACGCTTTAGCGATCGTCAGACAAACTGATTAATGTTTTAAAAAATTTGGGTTTATGTAGATTGCGTGTATTGGTGTTATTGTGGAAGTGGTGGGGGGAACTTCGTCGTTTTGTCATTCATCGTACTAACGCTAACATCAATGTGTGCAGACACACATACATATATAAACATATGTGGGCAGTTTCGGCTATGACACATGTATGTATACAATTTTTTAAAACATTAATCAGTTTGTCTGACGATCGCTAAAGCGTGAAACCCAGGGTCACAAACTCACATCTATCCAACCAAATATGTTAGCTCTATCTCTGATATTGAGCGCTTTCTAATAATTACCGCGCATATAATATATAAATAATTATACATATGTATATTTATTTATATTTATATACACTTTTCACACACACACATACACACATACATACATATATATATATATATATATATATATATATATATGTATGTATGTATTATAATTATCAATACCATTGCTAAAAACAAAAGGATTAACCTACAAACTATAGTCACGTTATTAATATCATGTAACAGATACTGACATGCATGTCATGTATGGCGCCAAATATCTAAACTGTCAGCTACATAGAACCGCTTTCTTAGGTCAAGGGTTAAAATGTCTTTTAGTGAGGGAAAACTGTGCATCTTTGTGAAGACCACATTTATTCGAAAATGTGTTAACTGGCACTGCTGAATCACCATTGAGAAAATGTACAAAACAAAATTACTTCCAACAAAGGAAGCGTTTATCTCCTAAGGATGATCATACTACTTCGAAACTCTTGAATGCGCTACAGAATCACAAAGAATGAACAGTACCAAGCAACAGAGTTCATATCACCCGAGGACTACCAACAGCAGCAATAATTAAAATGGATAGCATATATAACTCGTAGGGACAGTCATGACATTACCAAGAAGCTGACTTTCGATACTACTTCGAACAAACTGTTACAAAGGAACCATCTATTACTAGTGGAAAGAGCAATAACAGTTACTGAACTTGAAAATCTATCTAAATTCTGTCTATAAGTACCACTCTCTTCTCGATCAATGATCAACGGATATTTTCTTATAGGGTAATGTCTAATATTACCCTTATCTTTTGTTTCATACGTGTTAATGTCTACTGCACGTAATCTTGAGCTCAAATAGACTAAAGCTACACAGTTTATTCTTCTTCTCCTTTGTTCCACGTTCTTTCGGGACATAGACGGGAATGGCTCTCCACGGCGTCTTGTTCCTTGTGGTCCTTAGAAGTTATACTCTCTTTGTTAAGGCTCGCACTCTTACCCCATTCTGCGATCCATTCACAAAATCTCGTCAGGTAAGTGTATCTTTGCTTTAACTATCTGCTTTCCTCTTCTTCTATGTGCCACGTACTTTCATGGTCATGGCTCTTCACAAATTCCTATCCCTTATGTCCCTTAGTCGTTTTTCTACTTTTGCTAAGGCTAACGTACTCTTTGCGTTCTGTCATCCATTCATAGAGTCTTGTGAGGTAGGTGGTTCGCTGTCTTTTATTTCTTCTTCTTCTTCTTCTTCTTCTTCTTCTTCTTCTTCTTCTTCTTCTTCTTCTTCTTCTTCTACGTTCGCGTCCCTTCAGGACATAGGCGAGCATAGATCTTCACAACTTCTTATTTACAACATTCTCACAGATTCGTCAGGTAAGAGGTTCTCTGCCTCCACCGATCTCTCTTCTTCTTCATCTTCTATGTGCCGAATACTCTCTTGGCATACGCGATCATGACTTTTTCACAACATCCTTTGTGGTCCTTCTTTGATA